GTTTTTTTAAAGGAGGATGGAAGTCTAGACTTGAATCTTCATGGGGACTGGCACATACTATTCCCATCAGTAATGAAACACTAGGAGGGAAGAATTAGCTAGACTAGGAGGAGTGGGATAAAGACAGATAATGGGAAGAAACTAAGAAGAAGAAGTAGAGAAAGTGCTCCCTCTCTCTCTCTCTCTTCACTGGAAAGCCACCTTGTGCACTGTGCAGTTTAGAGAGGCCACCTTACAGGGTTTTTTAGTACGTCTCTTCCTGAAATTTATGTTGCTTGACATTGCAAAATTACAAGAACACTTTTATATAAAAGAGTACCTTATGGGGTGCAGCTGGAGCCTGATAAATTTGAACACTTAAGATTTGATTAGATCAGGCCTTAGTAAGTCTCACAACACATGTAAATATTATAAGGATTCTCCCTCTATTAGATACCAATACTCACTATAGCATTTGGAATTACTAACGCCACTACCTACTTCACTCCAGGGAAACTCTTCCCTGCCCAAGATACCTTTTTTTGGTATTGGAGGGGAGGGGGGAAATGTACCTTCAAAAAGTTCCAGCACATGGTCAGACCCTTCTCTGGGTTTCCAGGACTCCTGCAGTTGATTAAGGCTCAGGAACTAGCTATAGGACTCCATCCCAGGCAGGAATAAAGGGCAACAAAGCAAGGGGCTGGTGAACACAGACCTCTCTTCTAAAGGAGCTAGAACAAAAGATATGAACCTGACACACATGAAATTCACACAGGTTGATTCAGACATCAGGTCAGCTCAGCTTAAGAAAAAATGCTTAATACTGCATGAAAGCCAGTGAGAGTTGGAAATCCTCTGAGAGCTGGAAAGCCTCTGCCTGGCTCTTGACTTTGCGTGGCTATGGGTAAAAAGGGATCCGTATCAGGCCAGCAGAAGAGACAAAGGCTTTGATTCTTTGCACCAGACAACAGGCATGTAACTGAAGTGCTCTAGCAGGCACAGCCTCCCTAGGCAGTCACTGAAAAGAGCCAGACATTGGCTAAGAGCAAGTCTGGGGTCAGCCAGCTCAGCCTCTAGCAAAGTGAGGGCACTTTTTGTCCACAGAGTGCCCTAGTATCCAGCGCTAACTGAAACGCATCACTTAAATGAGATGAATCCCAGAAAGGACAGAGAGGAGAAATCTCAGAACTTTTTCTGCTTTTTAATGGGAATCACAAATGATTGTTTGAAAGAAACATTTAGTATAAAACACAGAGGGCTAAAAGCTTGCCAAAACTAATCTACCAGTGGGAGGATGTATACAATAAAAATCATATGCAATGACAGCAGGTGCTTCATAAGCAAACAGACAACATTTTATGAATTACAGCAATAAATTAAGATTTTAATATAACTGCAGTTTCAGTAAAGTCTTTTAACTAAACACCTCCAGAATCTCTGCCATCATCAAAGATGATGACAGCACCAACAAATTATTAAAAACTTTTGTTTGCAAACCCAAGCTTGGCATAAACAGGCTAGTGAGCACCGGGAAGGAGCTAGACAGCTGCATATCAGAGAAGGATGATTGTCTTTTTAGACTTCTCAATGAAACCTTGTCTGGCACTTTTCAAGGACTCTTGAGAACCAGTCCAAACTAATTCCTCAGTAAAGATGCTTCTATGCTTTTAGCTGGCAACACCTGAGCTACCGTAGAGTGCTCTGACACTGGCAGAACAAAAGAGGTTTCTGAAGCTGCACAACCAATGCATTTCTGACTCACTGTAACTCAGCAGGGACACAGACAAAACTGCATTTAGAAACTTCTACTTGCCCTACGTTCTGTCCACCAATGGGATTACTGGTACTACAGTCATAAAATAAAATAAAATCCTTTTAGGTGAGTCTATAAAGAGTCTCCCAGTCCCTGAATGAACTGCTTGACAAAGAATGTAGATGAATATCAACTGACTAACTGGCTGGTTATTTACGGGACACACGTCAAGCAATCTAAAATGGAGAAATACGTTGCGCTAACACAACTGAATTGTTAATAAATTGTTAATATAGTTACCTCAGAAGTGAGTGAAGAGCCTAGAGGTCTGCAATCATTTTTCTCCTGTTTGGATAATTTCCAACACATTACCAGACTGAAAATGTTTTCATATATTTAAAGGCTAAAGAAAGTGAACACACAGCAACACTTTTAGCCAAGACACAGGAAAACAGAGAGCGCAAAGCTGAAAACCTTTTAATGAACCTACAGGATATAGTCAAAATCACAGGCATATAAAACAGAAACATTTGTCTGAATCAGTTCTAACGTGCGTATAAAAAGACGCGAGCCAAAGAAGTCCAGTGGGACTGAGTCCAGGAGGGGCTTCAGTTGGAGGGAGGTGGAGGGGGGATAGTGCCTGGCCCCTCGGTGGGGAGAGGTGGTCTCATCATGGGTGGCAGAGGAGCAGGAGGAGGTACACCAGGTGCTGGTGGCAGCTGAGGTGGTACTGGCGGTGGTGGCACTGGTCCAGAGGGAGGCATAGGTGGCAGAGTCATGCCTCCTGGAGGAGGAGGTGGCATGGAGTCTGGCAGAGGTGGCCTTGGGGGCAAGCCATTCATCAGCGGAGGTGGAGGAGGCCGCTTCACAGTTGGGGGCCCTGGAGGGAGGTTTGGGGGAGCTGGGGGCTTCTCCATTTTGAAGTGGAATTGAAGGAAGAACTGCGGCGGGAGAAACAAAGAGGAGGGAACAATCACGCCTCGGGACAACTCTGGAACACCACACAACGCAGCCGCTCTGCCCATTCTGTCTCTGCCTCAAGGAACAAAAACTCGTTTTTTTTCCTCAACTATCACCTTCACAGATCACAGCTGGCTTTCTACCCTGACAGCGTTCAGGGCTTTCACCAGTCTTGCCCGGTATTTTAACTCCTCTGAAACTTGTTCCAAGTGCTATCAGTGATGGGGTCAGCGTCCCCTACCTATGCATTGGTGCCCTGTCCCCACATATGATACCTAGTGGGTAAACACATACTACAAGCTCACCACAGATACCTAGCTTGACAGTGAGAAGACTGAAATTACTTCTTTATGTTCCATATAGGAATTCAATTCTGCAGCAGCTGTACAAGCTTTGCCTTAAACACTGCACTTCTAAATCCACCCTGCCCCGTGAGAAACTTAAGGGACAAAGAGGTCTTGGAAGTTATATCTCGGTGACCTAGTCAAATCTCAGTTTCTTTGTTGAAACTATGAGTAAGAGGGACATCTCAAACAAAATGCAGAAGTTGCTCAGCAGGTCAACACTGTCTCCATTCAATACCAGCAGCCAAAGAAACTCATTTCACCTATCCCAAAAGGAGTCACTACGCAGTTACACTGAAAGAGTCAAGATTTTAGCATCAAAGCCAGCGACACCACGGATGTGTTCTCTTCCTGCATTGCCTTTTTCCCCAAGCTGCTCTGCCCTCCTGAGCTCTCTTCTATCCCTGAGAAAGAAGCTGTAATGCTCCAGCTACCTGTTTGGTTTCTCTGTTCCAATGGGTCCAAAATTTTCCTTCTGCTTTGTCGATTTCTCTGCTTGGCACCTGCATCAAGAAAGAATAAGGAGCTATTATTAGCACCGCCAGATTAGCTCAATGGCCCTTTTTAGCAATAGAGCCTGCAAGATAAGCACAGTTATTCCAGGCCTTTGTGAGATGTGCTAGTCTCGGATGTTATTAGATAGAGAGGGGGGCAGGAAAGAATTAAGTTACTTTCCTATCGGTCAAGGACAAGTGTGCTGGCAAAAACATCTGCACAAAGGCTGAGGAGCAAAGCCCAGAAGGCTCCTTTCTGTGCCAGACACCGAGAATTCAATGGCTCCCCAGAGCTCAGCATACAGCCTAGTTTTCATGCCAGAGTCCTCCACCAATTCTCAGTGGGGTTTAATGACTTCCAGTCATCTCTTCTTGACCCCCTCCCCCCATTCCACTCTATTAACCCCACAAAGGCTAGAATAGAGCAAGTCTGCTGCTCACTGGGAATTAATGTCTTGGAAAATGTAGGCGGGAACTCTCTCCATAATCAGTTAATCTCAAATCTTACCTTGAAAGCTATGGTTTCATAGGGCTCTGCTGCCATCAAAAGGTATTGCCAGCGTCTATCAGGGGGCTCAATCCTTTGCTCATAGGCTGACATGAACCGATGCCGAGGCATGATACTTTCTGCAATCTCCGGATAATCAATCTGTTGGGGTGTTATTGCAGCGTTAAGGAGAACATTGCCTTCTCAGTCTCCCTTTTTACAAAACAAACCCCTCAGCTATGAAGAAAGTCAAGACATCAGCTCCAGAAGGAAAACTTAATGCCACCAAAGGAACTGGCTTGACAGTATGATCACGGATTCTTCTGTTTACTGGATACAAATACCACCAGCAAAAGAGGACTAGCGAGGAGAGGCCTTTTTATTTATTTTTTATTTTTAATGAATCCTGGAAAGAACTACTTACTTAGCAGCACTTTTACTTGAATAACACAGACACCAAGAACATAACAGTGCCCTTACCTGGAAAAGAAGGCTCTGCTGGCCCGTCTCTGGATCTCTCTGTTTAGTCACTGTAAAGGCAATAGGAGAACTCAGCACCACGCCTAACAGGGCCAGAGCAACATTATTTCTGCCCTACAAAATACACAAAGCTCCATGCAACAAAACATTGTGAGATTTTTTTCATTTACCAAATGCTACACTGTCTTTAACCAAAGCTACTATGGGTCACTACTGAAATTCAGCTGCTGTGGGACAAAGACACTGACACACTGTGCATTGCAAACAAAGATGGGAGACAGACTGAAGGCTAAAGCAAAACAATGGGGAGCTGAGGGGAAAAAATTGAGCTATACACCCAATGAGTGATTCGTGAGCATCAGTGAAAGATGGTACAGCACAATAAAAAGGGGAGGAGAGACTGAAGCAATGTCATCATCTTCCGTCTCACTGTTATAATAAGAGCTGAAAGACTGAGACACAGCAATCTCTTATTAAAAAGATCCTCACTCAACTGTCAGCTCTAAAGAGATGTTCCATGGGTAATTTAAACAATCAAGGACATCAGGAGATAAGTCCATATCTTATTCATGGCCAGATCTGCTAAAAAGACTAATTAATAATTCATACACACAGCACAGCACTTCAAGCAAGCTCACCAGGCATTAAGTATATGCCACGACAGACACCCCGACATACCTTTATAACCTGGTCGTCCAATTTTCACAAATTTCTTCACTTCCACTTTGACTTTTTCTGGTGCAGGCTGGGCAGGAGCTTCCTTAGCTTCCTTGGCAGCTCGACGGGCCCTGAAATCATGCGGGAGGGGTGCTTAGACCTACTCCTGATATAAACAGACTTACGCAGTTTGCTTTTAAAGCTCTTTCTCCCCCTTCCTTCAGAAATTCCACAACCGGCTTTGAACTTCAGCTTGAAACGAAGCTTGTTGGCACCATTGTTTGGAGCAGATCTAGTCCATACCTGCTCACCAGTGCCAGGCTGTTCACTTCAAAAGTGAAAGGATATTCAAGCACAGTGTCCCGCTACATAATTCAAGATTTATAGATGAACGCAATCATACTTCTGGAGTGCCTAAGTAATGGAGAATAAAGCTACAGTGGAGAATGACTTACAAATTGGTCTGATGCTTTTTCCCCTGGGTATGCGCTAAGTAACTTCCCTGAAATGAAAGCAAGATAGAAGAAAGTTAAATGAAGACAGGACTGTTTTTAAACTGGAAGATAATTGTCATAGACGAGAAGCTATGTTACATGTTGACAGGTAAAAAACGCTCTAAACCACAAGGATATTTTAACCCCCTTACCAGAGAGGAATCTTACTCAAAAATTGCAGATTGCTCACAACTGCTGAGCTGTCACGAACTGTCGTGCTTTAACACACACAAACCACTCCTCACTCACCATCTCCTCAGTAATCAGTCATTACATATGCCTCAGATTGTTGCATTTGAAGTTAATATTATTCCAAAATATTTCTTTGCATGGAGATTAAGATAGACTCACCTCATTGTTGTGTAGCGTTAGGCAAAGCTTGCATTCATAAGAACCCAAGTGATTTTTCATAAAATAAGGGTCCTAGGAAGAGAATTTTTAAAGTCACAAGCAAAATTCATGGCAAAACAATAGAGTAATCAAAACACATAATGCAGATTTTTTCCTGCCCTGGACGAACTGAGTTCTTGGGTTTCAATTATTAGCATAACATTATTTTAGGAATATAAAAGCAGAGACAAACAACACTAATTTTGTTAAGCGGTAACAGCAGACCCAAATGCTGTGAAGAAACAGCAAAATATGAACCAGTCCTGAGAAGCCCAAGAATAACGCAATGGCAGCTATTTGAATGCACGAGTTTTGGCCTCTCTCTGTTCAGCCCTTTCACAAATGTTTCTCCTGCAGTAAAAGAAACAGAAGTATTTCATTCAAATCTACAACTCTCCACCAAATCTCTCATCTTCCAAACTGTTTCATCCAGGCAGCAGAGCTCTGAACTTAGCCACAGTTTGTAGGACTGAAGTGACATGTCCTTTCCTTCCTAAATACACAGACTGGTCAATGCTCACCTTGTTGATGTCAATCGTTTCCAAAGCTAGCTGCCGAAGTCTCTCCCTGCGGTCTCGGTTACTTTCTGATGCGGAGGCTACACCTCCGCTTCCAGTTTTACCTCCAGGACGATGCTGAAAATCCATGATGGGGACTTCTCTACTTCAACTAGTTCAGAAGAACGAAAAAGTCTGGAAAAATGAAGGAAAGCAACATGGGTGATAATTAATGCCTTTCCTAACCTAGACGTCATTCTCCTATTTAGACCCACCAGTAAGAAAAGGAGATGGGCACAGTAAAAGCGTTCGCTAAGAGCTCGCTACAGAACACAATTTCAAAGTCAGTAGGTCTTGGGGCGCTGACTCAACAAGCTGCGTGTTGAGTAGAACCAAAACGATCTAAACCCTAAATAACCTGCCCAGAGACCTTCCAACCTCCTCAACGCCTTCTTCAGCAAAAAGGAGAGACGGATTCCTCCCCCAAGCATTCAGCTGGGCTCCAGCAAGGCCCTACAGCTCCCCTAGCAACACACGAGCCCCACTAGGTGCCCCCAATCCCTCCATCTCGATAACGAACAGCCCCAGAGCCCCATCAAGGGTCCAAGGCTGAGTTGCCCCACGCCCC